ACGACGTCAGGGAGCACTCGCCCGCCTTTTTTCGGCAACGCGATTGCGCAGGATTGCCGGGCGGCCATTGGCCTGGAGGGGGTGGCCAGGCAGGGCCCCAGCATGTGGGGTTGGCGGGTCCCGCCTTTCTGGCAGCCGATCCTGGACCTGGCCTGCCACGACTCCGAGGTGTGGGGCCAGCACCGCCAGCGGGCGCTGCGCCGCCTCGTCCAGAACACCTACTAGTGCGAGGCCAGGGTCGGCGCCGCGGACCAGTCGGTGCCGACCAACTGCCAGCTCTGTGGCTACAGGGACGGCTCGCTGTACCACATGCGCTTTCAGTGCGAGGCCCACGAGGCCTGGAGGCGCGACTACCTGCAGGAACCGCTGCGGCAGGCGGCGGAGCCGGTTAAGGGCCAGTGCGACCCGTTCACCGAGCTGTTCGCCAGGGGCCTCTTCCCCGACGTTTCGGAGCTCGTCGAGCGGCAGCCTCGGCCTGGCGCGGACCACTTCCAGAGCTCGACCAGCTGGCGCGAGCTCGGGCCCCACCTCGATGGGCATCGCGTTTTCGTGGACGGCTCGGGCCTGGACCAGGCGTGCCCGCACCTGCGCACGGCGGGCTGGTCGGGTCGGTAGTGGTCTACGACGCGGACCGCAGGCGGGTCGCCGAAGCCTGGGGCGCCGTCCCGATCCAGGAGGCGTCCGAGCAGCTGGCCAGGGATGGCGAGGACTACGCGGTGAAAGTCCTCGCGGACCAGGTGGCTGGTGCGCGTTTCAGGCTCTACATCGACTGTTTGGCCACCGTGCGCTGCGCGGTCTGCCCCCTGGCAGCGGCCGCCGCCTGCAGCCGGCGTGCCCGTCTCTGGGCTGGGGGGGCGGGGCAGCTCCAGGAGGCGACGGTGGTCAAGATCAAGGCCAACCTGGGTCAGAAGGCCGTTTGTCAAGGCCAGATCTCCCAGTTCGAGCTCGACGGCAACGCTCGGGCCGACATGCGCGCGAAGGAGGGCGCCGCGGCGGCAAGGGCGAAGCTGGATGACATCCAAGTGGTCGAGGGCTGCCAGCTCTTGGCGCGCCAGGCGGCGCAGTATGCTGCGGCGCAGGATGTCTACATCTCGCGCAGCGGCCTGCTGGGCCCATGGGAGTGAACGCCCTGCGCCTGATCGACTTCGGCGACTGGCCCGAAGGTCTCGAGGAGGAGGAGTTCAGAGACGGCGCCCCGCCAGAGGCCAGCTCCCACTGCGCAGACGGGAGCCAGCCGCCTGGCCTTGGCGGCCAGCTGCGGCCTTGGCGGGTGCGCGGGCACTCCTTGCTCGCAGCGCCGATCTTCGATGGCGAAAATGAGCGCTCGGCCATGCGCTCTCGTGGCCCCTTTCTTTTCTGTGCCACGTGCCGTGGGTATATAGCAGATAAGCGGGGGCGATGCCTCCAGGGAAACTGCCCAGGGGGCCCGATCCCCAGCGCCAGTAATAATAACTCTGCCATCGCCAAAGGGAAGCACCCTAAAGGGAACAGGCTTCTCGGTAGCCTTAGATCGCCCTCCGAGTCTGAGATCGATTTTTGGTCTGGGCATTTCCCCCCTGTGCCTCCTGTGGTGGCCCAAACGGGTGCCCAGACCGAGGGCTCTAAGCGGCCCAGCGTCCTGGATGTCCTGCCGTCCTTCGGGCTCCAGCTGGCCCAAGCCCAGCGATTGGGGTCGCGAGCCCTAGTGGCTAGAGCCGAGGCCCTTGCGTCCAGGCAGAGGGCCCGCGCGGCTCATGGTCCCGAGGATCCACTAGACTTCTGGCCCTAGGCCCCGCGCAGCTGAGTTGCGTGGGGGCGGGGGGCGGCAGTTTGGGGGGTCCTGTGGGTCGAATTCGTGCTGCAAGACCTTTCTGGTCGAGTCTAGCCTCCTGCGCCTCTTCCTTCGCGTACGCAGGAGCGCGCAGCGCAGGCATGGGAGGGTAGGGAGTGGGGGAACAGATGCAGGGGAGGAGGGGGTCCGCCCCGACGACGTCTGCCGTTGTGGGCGGCAGCCCTCTCCGGATTGTGCCCAGGCGCCACGCCGCCCGCAAGCCGTGCAGCTCAACCCCGGCCTCCGTGGTCGCGACGACCCCAGGTCCCGCTACGACCCACGACTGTCCCCCGACCGCCGCCGCCGACCTTCGTCCCTTCCCCCGCCCCCCGCCTGCCCCCAACGTGCTTGCTTTCTGGTGCCTTTGCCGTCCCCCTCTCCTGCTGCATGTTCGCGTCTGCTCGCCTTGTGTTTCGCCCTCCTCCTCCTCCTCTTTCTCCTCCTCCTCCTCCTCCTCCTCCTCCTCCTCCTCCTCCTCCTCCCCAGTGTGGTGCCGCGCTGCCAGTCCTGAACAGCTGGCTGGGCGCTCCGCCTGTGGTATCTCTGCGAGCGTGCACGGGCCGCGGGTGCGGCCTCCGTGGCCACGGAGAGGCGCGCTCGTGGGCGGCAGCGCGTGGGCCGCGGGAGGCAGTCGGTCCTCCCGCCGCGTGGCCTGGCGGGGGAGGCGCGTGGCCTGTGGAGGCCTGCGGCCGCCCTGGAGCGACGGAAGCGAAGAAGGGCGGCCCTCGTGCCGTGATGGGGGAGTGGCCCGCGCCTTGGCGGCTTGCCTCAAGGCCGCGAGCTCCTTCGTCGCTTGGGTGGCGGCCGCCTTGTGGCCTCCATCCGCAGCATCAACGCCGAGGTCGCGAGGGGCCGCCACGAAGGAACCAGGGGCCACGCAGTTCCTGTTCCGCGCGCCACCCCTCGGTGCGAGGAGGGGCACCCAGCTCTGAGCCCGAGCCTGCCGTGGGCCACCAGACCCGCCCGGTTGGGAGGGACGGAGGGTTCTCGGGAATCGTGCCTGTGGGGGTTCTCCGCCCACCTCCCGGGGCCGAGGGGGGCCCGGCCCGCGCGCCGGCGGCGAGCGCCCTCGGCAGGGGCCGTGGTGTGCAGGCGAGGCGGTTTTAGCGCTCGCTGTCCGGTGGGTCAGGAGTCAAGAGGATCGGGGGTGGACAGACCTCCTACCTTGACACGTCGATTAGTGTATTGTACGTTTTCGGTTCTCGAGAGGGCGCCGCGGCCGTAATTTTCCAGGCTTGCGCCCACCAGGTTTGGGCCCGAGGTCGTTTTCACTAAACCACGTTTTACTAAAGGGAGGTCTGAGAGGAAGTGGGAAGGTCGCAGGCGATTCCCCCCCCCTCAGCCCCCGGGTTCTGCTCGAAAAATTTGGCCGCTACGAACAAAGGGGGAAACCCTGGGATACACCCCAAGGGGGGCTATTCGGACGCACCCCTATCGAGGATGGACGCTCCCCCTTTGTATATCTCATGGTTGGGCCCCGCATTTCTGGTCCATCTGAAAATCCCACAAAGCCTGGGATTAGAGGTCGACGTGTCGACGTATCCCCTGTTAGATAAGGAAGGGCGGTGCGAAGGAGGAGTTGGGAAAGGGAGGCGGGGAGGGGAGGCGAGGCATCGAGACACCAGACGCCACAAGCTAGGTTTTAGGAGCTTTCTGAAACAAGATTGCCAGTGCGGGTCCCAAACAGTGTTCTTGTTAGCACCTTGGGTGTGTGTTCCATGATTTGCAAGCTATGTTCAGGAGGGGAAATAATACACAGACACAATTCATCGTCGATTCCGCAGAAAATATAGGAAAATATGGGAAGTGTGGGGGGGGGGAAGGCAACAACCCAGAAAGTATAGGGAAATATGGGGGATTCTGTTATTTGTGTATATTTAATTGCGTGTCCCAGGGCCCCTTCAGATGTGGATCGCGCATTTTGTGAATAGCTTGGAGTCTCCAGTTCCAATGCTCTATCAAACATCTCGCCCGCCCGCCCGCAAGTTGCAGGCAACACTCAACTTGCATGCCAGATCTGTGACTCGGGTTGGGCGGGTGATCTTGTGATGACGGCATCGGCGACGACGAACATGCTGGTGATGGTGGTTCGCGATGATCACGACAGAGACGGCAGCGATGATGATTGTGACGATGCGGATAGCGACGGCAGTGATCATGACGACGATGTTTTTTTTGAAACGAGGGCGATCGTGGCAACAGCAGTGGTTCTGTTGGCGATGATGACGGCGATGGTTCTGATGAGGATGCAAAGTATCATGCGCGCGCGTTTACATTGTGACTTACTTGTTTCCCTGTTCACCCATTTGTTTTCCTGTTTTCCTGTCACCATGTGTCACAACCACGTTTTTCCATGCGCGCGCGGGGACGCGTCCGCGTGGCCCGTATCGTATTGTTTGACCAGGTTGGTGGGTGCGCGAGTATGATTTCATAATTTCGACGTGCGGGCACATTTGGGCCGCATGGTGCCCATACGCGCAGTTCTAAACACACACACACAGCTGGTTCGCCGATGATTTTATCGAGTGCGCGCGCGCTGAACTCTGACATGTTTTATCCCTGCAAATTGTTTGTGTTCTGGGAAGCCGATGGTTCGGGACGAATTTTAATATGTGCGCGCATGTGTGGCCCGCATGACATTGTTTGGTACGCAGCTATTTATTTGGCAGGGATGTTCGGATTAGTGTGTGTGTGTGTGTCTGAATGTGTGCGTGTGCGTGTGTGTTTGTATGTGTGTGTGTGTGTGTGTCACGTGTGCGTGCGCGTGCGTGCGTGCGTGCGTGCGTGTGCGTGTGTGTGTGTGTGTGTGTGTGTGTGTGTGTGTGTGTGTGTGTGTGTGTTTGTGTTTGTGTTTGTGTTTGTGTGTGTGCGTGTGTGTGTGTGTGTTTGCGGGGGCGGGGTCGAAAGCGGGCTTGGCTGGGATGATATGGACTCATCTTTAGGGTGAGTGCCACTACGTAATACATATGGAAAAACTCATACGCAGAGGGGTGGGGGACCTTACGCCCAGCTTCGGCATGGCGGTCGGATCGAAAATTCTTCAGACTACGATGTGTAGATTATGCTGCGGCGCAACCCACGTGGGGCAAGCTCTGCGGCGCAAGCTGTGGAGTGCAATGCACCTTGCCGAACTTGAAGTCGTCGACTCCACTGCTTGCGCGCTCATCCCACCCGCCCATCCTCAACCCGTAGCCATTTCGGCTCAAGTTTTGGCTTGGGCTCCTTTAAGTGACCAGAGGCTCCCGCCCGCCCCTCAGCCCGCGCCGAGCTCTGCTGCCATGGCGCCCCGGCGGCCCATCCTCGCGTGCGCGCTGGCGGCCGCGGCCGTGGCCCTGTGCCGCAGGGGCGCCGGCTTCGTGGGCTCGCCCGCGCCCAGCTGCCAGCGCGGCGAGCGCGTGGCCGCGCGCGTGAGCGCGGAGTACCTGGAGCGCTGCGGGCCGAAGGACGCGGATGTGGCGTTCGACGCCTCGGCCGCCACTGGCCCGGGCCCCACCGTCACCTACAAGAAGCGCCCCTTCGGCATCCTGCGCTACCAGCCGGGCAACGGCATGAAGGGCGCGATGGCCATGGAGGTGATCCCGGTGTCCCGGTACCCTGGGGACCCCCAGGGCCAGGCGTTCTCCGCCGGCGTGGCGGGCGGCATGGTGGTGAAGTCCATCGCTGGCGCGGAGGTGTTGACGGAGGACTTCGGCAAGATCATGGACCTGCTCGACGACGAGGTGGCCGACCCGCGCTTCTCGAAGTCCACCGCGCTCGCCCTGGAGAAGTTGGGGAGGAAGGCGGACGCCGTGGAGCCGCCCATCGAGGTGGTCTACGCGACCGTACCGGGCTACGTGTACGCGGGCGCCGAGATGAAGGCGGACGGCCAGGACGGCTTCGCCCGCTGAGCCCTCGCGGGCCGCAGGGCGACTGCCTGCCAGCGCCGGTCGTGATTAAGATTATCGCCACCAATCTTTTCGGCGCCCCAGCGCCTTTCTTTAACATGACCGCCTTCGCTTGCGCTCAGTTGTGAAAGACCACGGGCGGCAGTGAGCGAACTTTGAAAGCACGACATCCCGCCCTCCCATCCTCAATTTTTCTGCACAACCCATGCGGCCGCGGTTGTGCTGAGTACTTGGCACTGGTTGGATCTCTGCGGCTGCGCTAGCGCGCGCAAGCTCGCGCGCGGGTGCCACGTATGGGGGTGCAAGCTATGCGCTGCGACCTAAGGCTAGCAATCAATGTGGTGCAGTCTATGTTGAGCAAGTTCTGTGTTCAGTGTTGTTTTAGGCAGTCTATGCGGGTACAAAATCTTGACGTTTCGCGTGCCCCCACCAGCCCACCCAGAGCCGATGCTCAAGCGAGTTGCTTTGATCAGGACAGTGTAGAAGCATGCAGCAGACACACTTTGGATCAGCCTGACCAGGCCAATGACGAGGACAAGAAAGAGCTGGAGGACGAGGATAATGAAGAGGACGAGGACGATGAGGAGGACGAGGGGGAAGACGAGGAGTAAGAGGAGGGCGAAGAAGAAGAAGAAGAAGAAGAAGAAGAAAAAGAAGAAGAAGAAGATGAGGAAGACAAGGAGGAGGAAGAGGAGGAGGAGGAGGAGGAGGAGGGCGAGGAGGAGGATGAGGATGACAAGGACGAGGAAGAGGACGAGGAGGAGGACGAGGAGTACGAGGAGGGCGAGGACGAAAACAAGGAGGATGAGGAGGAGGAGGAAGAGGAGGAGGAGGGGAAGGAGGAGGAGGACGAAGACTCTGGCAGCAGCCTTGGGGTCCTCCGGACGTCCTCTTGGGGTGCCCTTGGGGTTCTCTCGCAGCCCTCCTGCGGCCCAGGGCTTGGGGTCCTCTCGGGTCTCCTTGAGGGGTGTTCGGGCTCTCTTGGAGCCCTCTTGGGGGCCCCTTGGGATCCTTGGAGGAGGAGGAGGAGGAGGAGGAGGAGGAGGAGGAGGAGGAGGAGGAGGAGGAGGAGGAGGAGGAGGAGAGGAGAGGAGCAGGAGCAGGAGCAGGATCAGGAGCAGGAGGAGCAGGAGCAGGAGGAGGAGGAGGAGGAGGAGGAGGAGGAGGAGGAGGAGGAGGAGGAGGAGGAGGAGGAGGAGGAGGAGGAGGAGGAGGAGGAGCAGGAAAGGCAAGGAGAAGGTCTGCTTGCCCTCCTCCTGCCGTCCTGCCCTCCGCCCACGTGCTGGCCCACTCCCGCCAGCTGGGACGCAGGTGGCGACGCGTACATCTGGTCCTGTCGCTGACGCCGGGCCGGCCATCTTGGAGGGCGTTGATCAAAAATAGTAGATGGGGTCAGTGGATCGCGCCGCGTCTCCGGTGCATCGGCGATGCGTCCTCGGCGACGGCTGGCGTGGAGAAAATGGGGCCCCACATCGAGCCGCATCTGAGAGGCCCTGCTGGGTTCACCAGCGGGCCTCCAGGGGCCGACGGCGACCCATCGGACGGGGCTAGGATGAGGATCGATCCGTTCTAGAGCGTTCCGGAACACTCTCGGAGCGTTCCGGAACGCTCTGAGAGGGCCGTGACGCCCGAGACATCCTCCAGATCTGCCGGATCTCAGAGATCCCCGAGGGGCATCTGCGGCCCCCAGGGGCCCGCCGCAGGCTCCGCACGTCGGTCAGACCAAGGGCGCAGTCAGGTCAGCGGCGGCTCGCCCGCGGCCGGCGGCTGCAGCAGCGGCAGCAGCGGCAGCACGGGGTGGCCGGGCCGAGCCGCCGCGAGCGCGCGCGCGTGTCCGCGTTGCCCGCGCGCGAGTGTGCCCGAGCGCGACGCGCGCAGCCGCATGCGCGCTTGCGCATCTCGACTCGGCTTGCTTCCCCGTGCGCAGGCGCACGCGCGCGCGCGCGCCCGCGCCCCGAAGGCTGAGCTTCGACGACAAGCTCTTCCTGTTCGAGCGCCCCCCCCCCCTCGCCGCCGCAGCCGGCGTTTCCGTGCTCGCACTCCTGCAGAGAGGGGGCGGGGCAGGGGAGGGTGGGAGGGAGAAGCGGGGAGGAGGAGAAGGAGGGAGGAAGTGCAGGAGGCTTTAGACGCTCCAGCTCTGCTGCTCAAGTCCGCGCAGCGAAATCGGGAGGTGGAAGAGGGAGGAGGAGGGAGGGAGGGATGGAGGGAGGGAGGAAGGGGGGAGGGAGGGAGGGCGGGCGGGCTGGCAGGAGGGAGGGAGGGAGGAAGGGAGGGAGGAGGAGGAGAAGGAGGAGGAGGAGGAGGAGGCGGAGGAGGAGGAGGAGGAGGAGGAGGAGGAGAATGACCGATAGTGGTGCCCACTCAGGGCTCAAGGGTTACCTGGGCTACCCCTGGAGGGGAGCCGAGTTTGGCCCCCGGGCAAAGCCAGGGCCAGGGCCCTCGGCACTCCAAGGCCACTGTCTCCCTGGCCGTCTGCGTGCCGCTCACCGCCGAGCACGAGCCACTTGCAGAGCTCGGTGTGCCGACCTTCACGAAGACCATATGATTAGTCTCCTTAAAAAAAAATAAAAAAAATACTTTTTCTCCTTCTTATGGCTATTAGTATTCCTCGTATTCGTCTTCTTATCGAGAGCCGCTGCCCCTACTCCTTCTACTTCTCCTCCTCCTCTTCCTGCTGGGCCTCCTCCGCCTCCTCATGACGCGGAATGCATGTGCAGTTGCCCCAGGTGTGCTCCGAACGAAGGTTCCATCGAGCACTGTTGGGCGTGTGCTACAGTGTTTGGGACGGCTTTGAGTTAAATTCGTTGGAGTGGATCTTTCCCCGTCGCCGGTGGGTCGCCTCGGTATCCTGGCCCCGTCGCGTCGGTCCCTCGAGGTGCCTGCTGGTGCCTATCTTCAGTTTCACGAGCTCAGAGCAAAATGTCTCCGTCTCCTACGCCCGCTGACGATGGATAGGGCACTGGCAGTTGTCCCAGCTGCCCGTGACCAGCTGCGGAGGCGAGGCGCCTCGCAGATGCAACCGTTACCCTGGACATGATCCCAGAGGCCACTCGGCAGGCGAAGACGGAAAACAAGTGTACACATCATACACATCAGCGATTTTGCAATAATTCCTCCCTCCAAATTCCCTCTTCACAGGCCCATTACAAGGCTTCGTTTTCACCGAGGGAAGGGCTCAGTTGGAAGACGATCTTTTGAACATGTGGAACTGTGCCCGGACATTCCTGGGACTTGAGCGCCGCGAATGACGCTTACTGTTGCGTCTTAGCGACCCTGAATGGTGCCAGAACGCCGTTCCTCGGACTTCCATGTCGCGAATCAGTGTAGCTGTTGCGCCCTGACAGTCTGACATCATGCCACAGCGCCATTTCCAGGACGGCGCCCTTTCCGGGATGTTAGCCATTACGCAGCCTGGAACTTTTATAGAGTCAAACAACGAAACGTTTGCGGTGCTAAAACGAGGGCCACATTTTGAAAAGGAGCCGCTGTCCATCCGTGCAGCTCGTGCACTAGTTGAAAACGCGTGAGCGTGGAGCTCGGACGAGAACCGCAGTTTGAAAAGCTACGGCCCTTCATCTTATGAAACTCTTGCAACTTCTTGAGGCACGCGCGTGCGGCGCGAAGGCGGGGGCCACATTTTGAAAACGGCCCGCCCTCCATCCGTGAAGCTCTTCCAATGCTTGAAGCCGAATGCGCGCGGCCCGAAAGTGAGGGCCACATTTTGAGACCGCCCCGCCCCCCATCGGGGAAGTTCTCTTGCACATGTTCAGTTCCATGGTCATAACGGAGAGGTGCTTTCAGGCGAAACGCTCGGCCTGCCCTTCCGACTGGCTCCGGGGTGCGACTGGGAGGAGTTATTCGTAACGAAATGGCTTCGGGGTGCGACAGGGATGAGTTTTTCATAAGGGAGAGGACAAGGAATGAAGGAGGAGGAGGAGGAGGAGGAGGAGGAGGAGGAGGAGGAGGAGGGAGGAAGGAGGAGGAGGAGGAGGAGGAGGAGGAGGAGGTGAGGAGGAGGAGGAGGAGAGGAGGAGGAGGAGGAGGAGGAGGAGGAGGAGGAGAGGAGGAGGAGAGGAGGAGGAGGGAGGAGAGGAGATAGGAGGAGGAGGAGGAGGATGAGGTGGAGGAGGAGGAGGAGGAGGAGGAGGAGGAGGAGTGGGAGGAGGAGTGAGAGGAGGAGTGGGAGGATGAGGAGGAAGAGGAGGAGAAGGAAGAGGAGGAGGAGGAGGAGGAGGAGGATGAGGAGGAGGACGACGACGAAGACGAAGACGACGACGACGACGACGACGTCGAAGACGACGACGACGACGCGACGACGACGACGACGACGACGACGACGACGACGACGACGACGACCCCAGACCCATCCAAGGGCGCTTCTCCGACGATGTCTGCGGCGGCGGCGAAGTCTTCCCCCAGGGGCCCACGGAAGTCCCGAGCGACCAAAAGCCTCGAGCCTCGATGGCTCTCGGGTCGTCGTTTGACGGCCCGACAGCAGCCTCCATGGGCCGACGCTGGCGCAAAGCCCGCCGTCACGATCCCTCGATCTCTGTGGCGGCGTCCAGGTCTAGAGACCTGCTTCGAATCTCGACGAGCTCGACGACGACCATCCTCGAGCCTCGAACCTCGAGCCTGGAACCTCGAGCCTCGACCCTCGAGCCTCGGATCTCGACCCTCGATCCTCAGCCCTCGAGCCTCGATCCTCGCTGACGGCGGCGATGGCGATGCCGCCGGGGCCCCGCGAGGTGCCTTCCGGGAGGTCGCCACCGAGGTCCCGCCGCAGTCGAGCGTTTCGACCTTATGCTGGGCTCCGACACCGAGTCGGAGGTGCAGCGGGGGGGCGGGCGAAGATCGACGCGGCGGCGACGTGTCACCAGCGGCACGAGAGTTGTCCGAGCTAGCACGGTGCGCCTTCACGCTTCGTCGCAGGCATCTGGGCGCCTGCTGCTCACAGCTGTGGCCGAAGCGGCGGCGGCACCTCGAGTGCCTTTCTCTCTGTGGGGGGGGGGGGGCCCTTCGGCGCCGGTGCATGCAGTCAGAAGAGCTTGCCAGTGTGCCCTCTCACCTCGTCATCTCGTGCATCTTTCCGTCTCTGCCCCCCCCCCTCTCTCCATTTCTGGCTCTCGCGCCTTGTGTTCCACCTGCGTGTTGCGTTGGAGCTTCGAGTGGCTCTCCACTCCTCTCGAGACACGGTCTGACTCCACACCTGTGCTCGGCTTTCCGTCCCCACGTGTGAGGCATCTCCGTGAGTCCGTCGCGCCTGCAGACCCGCGCGGGGAGGTGGACGCCGGCTCTGGGGCGTCGAGCCCAGCCTCCGCGCGTGGCGCGAAGACCTACCTGCTGACGGACGGCTCGGAGCAGGAGGCCGTTCTGCTGTGCCCTTCTTCTCCCCCTCCTCTTCAGCATTCTCCGCCTCCCCTCCCTCTCATTCTCAGTCCCCTCCTCCCTCTCCTCCCTCGTCCTCTCTTCGGGGCGCGCGCCCCCCCCTCATCTCTCTCTTCTCTCTCTCTCTCTCTCCTCATTCCTCCTCCACTCCTCCTGCTGCTCTTCCTCCTCCTCCTCCTCCTCCTCCTCCACCTCGGCCACGCTCCACCACCTCCTCCTCCTCCTCCGCTCCTGCCTGCTGCTTCTGCTGCTGCTGCTGCTCCTCCTTCTCCTCCTCCTCCTCCTCCTCCTCCTCCTCTTCCTCCCTCTCCTCCTTCTCTTCCTTCTCCTGCTGCTCCTCCTCGCCATGCTCCGTGCATTCTGCCAACGCTTGGGAGAGTTCAGGAGGTCCAAGCACGAGCGGGACGAAAAGGCCAGGCGGGTTTCAGAGGGAGCGCGACGCCGCCACGCAAGCTACAGGAGGGCGAAGAGGGCGTTATGGTATCGCTCCTTGTCCTTCTTCTGCTGCTTCTTCTCCTCCCCCCTTTCGGAACCAGCGGCAGGCAGTTTGCTTGTCCGCATGTGTCGCCTTAGCTGCGTCCGTGTCCTGGAGATTGGTGCCAGGAACAGGGTTTGTGCATCTGGTTGGGAGGTGGGTTCGTGTGGCCCGTAAGCCCCATGTGACCTTGTGTCCATCCACCCTGGGCTGGTCGTATTCGTACAGTTCAGTCAGTTACGCATGCCGCTCGATTCGGCAGGGTTGGTTGTGGTCTTCCAGGCCGAGGAACCAAAACAACGGCTTAGGTTTCGGGGGACATTGCCATCCTACGCGCCAAGCCGTCTCGGGCGGGCAGCGACTCACGGTCGACGTGGTCTTCTCACCGTTCACTGATTTGTTCGTTGGGAACTCATCGTCATTTTATAGTCTAGAGTCTACCGTCTCCTCCCTCTCCTTCCTCCTCCCCCTTCCTCCTCCCTCGGCTCTCGTCTCTCGTCTGGCGCTCCTCCCCTCCTCCTCTGCCTCCTGGTTTCTTCCCCGAAGCAAGCTCGAGCAAAGTCTGGGGCCAGTGTGGCACACAGACGAGAAGCGTGAGACGCAGGTGCCCGCAACCATTCTCCTCTCTCCTCCTCCTCCTCCTCCTCCTCCTCCTTCTCCTCCTCCTCCTCCTCCTCCTCCTCCTCCTCTGCCTTGTGCTCCTCCTCTCATCCCCCCTACAGGACCTCTACTGGTGTTTGTTCTGGTCAGAATTTTGAGGGAGATTCAGCTATGGGGACGAGAAGCTTCCTGCTGGTCCAGAACAGTAGGAGAAAGGTTCTGAAGCCTCCATCGTCGGTCCTCCTCCTTGACCCCCTCCTTCTCTTCCGTCCTCTTCATCCCCCTTCTCGTCATCACCGCTCTTACCGTCCAGCCATTGTCTCCCCCCAGGAGGTTTCGGAGGAGTACGATATCAATGATGAGTACGACTTCGATGCCGAGAAGGCCATTGTGACCCGGCGCGCAGGGCAGGACTACGATTATGTATGGGGGAGGACCATGATCAGGAGGAGGCGGAAGAGGAGGAGGAGGAGGAGGAGGAGGAGTCTGAGGAGGAGGAGTCAGAGGAGGAGAAGGAGTCAGAGGAGGAGGAGGAGGAGGAGGAGGAGGGGGAGGAGGAGGAACAGGAGGAGGAGGAGGAGGAGGCGGAGGAGGAGGAGTCAGAGTCACAGTCAGAGTCAGAGTCAGAGTCAGAGTCAGAGTCAGAGTCAGAGTCAGAGGAGGAGTCAGAGTCAGAGAAGGAGGAGGAGGAGGAGGAGGAGCCAGGAGGACGTTCGAGGACCGAAGACTCGATGTGATGCCCCTGGCCTGATTAAAGGTTCTTCCAGAGAAGTGTTCGGGCGTGCTGGATACCCATATTTCTCTTATCACATCCAAGTTGTGTATCAATTCTAAGGTCTATTCCGCCTTCTCCTGAATCCGCCGCATACCCTCTCCCTTCCTGCCTACAAGGAATGGGGCTGCTGCTGCTGATGATGGCGATGATATTGATGATGATGCTGCTGCTGCTGCTGATGATCCTGATGATGACGACGACGATCATGATGTCGACAACTATTTTACTGATGGTTGTGATGATGATGCTGCTGATGTTGATTCTGATGATGCGGATGACGAACATGGAGGTACTTATGGTGATGCTGATGAGGATGATGATGATTAGGATGACGGTACTGATGATGATGATGAGGATGATGATCATGAGGCTGATGATGATGATGATGATGATGATGATGATGATGATGCTGGTGGTGGTAATGATGTTGATTGCGATGGTGCTGCTGATGCTGAGATAGTGCTGACGACGCAGATGTTCATAAGGATGCGTATAATGCTGATTATGATGATGCTGAATCTGGTAGCCATGGTGATGCTGTTTATGATGGCAACGATGCTTATGATGATGAGTATGCTGATGCTGCTGGGGATGATGATGCTGCTGATGATGACACTGCTGCTGATGATGATGATTATGATGATGATGCTGATGATGATGGAGATACTGATCACGATCATGATGCTGCTGATGATGATGCTGATGCCATTGGCAGAATTTTCATTATGGCGGTGATGGTGATGGTGCGTGCTGATGGCGATGACGATGATGCTAATGACGATGATTCTGATAAGGAGGACGTCTACTATCATGTGTCTCTATGTTTGATATCGATGCTGGTGATGGTAACGGTAAGGACTCGTATGGTGATGATGCAGATGATTCCGATGACATTGATGTTGATGTTGTTGATTATACTGACGGTGATGATGACGACTCTGTTGGTGCTTGTGATGACGACGTGGATTGCGATTCCGAGTGTGATTACGCAGCTTTCGAGGATTGCGTTGGTGACGATGACGATGACGATGGCGATAACGCCGACGATGGCGACGACGCTGATGATGGCGATGCACCTAGTGTTGATGGTAATGCTGGTGCTGACGATGAATGGTGATTGGAATGTGGATGGTGATGGTGGGGGTGAGTAGCATGGCTATTACCGCGGACGGCGAACATGCTGCTGCTGGTAATGATGCGGATGGCGAGGTGGAGGAGGTGGAGGTGGAGACGGCGAAGCAGCAGGAGAGGATAGATGAATCCGGTGAGTGGAGGAGGATGAGGAGGAAGAAACTGAGGAGGAGGAAGAGGAGGAGGAGGAGGAGGAGGAGGCGGAGAAGGAGGATGAGGCAGAGGAGGAGGAGGAGGAGGAGGGGGGGGGATGATGATGTGGATGAGCAGGAGGAGGAGCCGGACAAGGAGGAGGATGAGGAGGAGGAGGAGAAGGAGACGGAGGTGGAGGAGGGGGATGCGGAAAGAGCAGAAACAGGAACAGCAAGAGGAGCAGCCAGAGGTGAATGATGATGAGAAGGAGGAGGAGGAGAAGGAGGAGGAGGAGGAGGAGGAGGAGGCGTCAGAGGAGTCAGAGGAGGAGTCAGAGGAGGAGTCAGAGGAGGAGTCAGAGGAGGAGTCAGAGGAGGAGTCAGAGGAGGAGTCAGAGGAGTAGGAGGCGGAGGAGGAGGAGGCGGAGGAGGAGAAGGAGTCAGAGGCGGAGGAGGAGGATGAGGATGAGGATGAGGATTATGAGTTGGAGGAGGACGGGGCGGAGGAGGAGGAGGAGGAGGAGGAGGAGGAGGAGCAGGAGGAGGAGGAGGAGGAGGAGGAGGTGGAGGAGGAGGAGGGGGAGGAGGATATGCAGGAGACGTGCCGTGGCTGTTGCATGTGGCCGCGGTCGGCGGTGGCCCGTTCGACCAGGCCATCCTTGGCATCGACCTAGTGGCCACACGGGTCGCTCGAGAGGCAGCGCGCCTTCGATTCCAGAAATGGAGGGCCTGGGGTCGGGATGCCGCGGCGAAAGGGGGAGCACACCGTTTCTGCAAAGACAACCCACCCCTTCCCCAGCTTGCTGGCAAGGACGGCCTCCCCCTCCAAGGCGATCGTGCTGCTGAGCATTTAATGGGTGAGTGGGCGCAGTATTGGCGTGATGGCAACTCACTGATCCCCCCTGGCCTCAAGCAGGCCGCGCTGAGATCGACGCTTCCCGCACCCACGTGGGACCAGGAAGAATGGCCCAGCATACTTGCGTTTACGGGCAAAGCTGATGGGGACGGGCTTCGACCTATAGCGTTGACCTGCAGTTTGTAGAGAGTTTGGGCTAGGTGACGACAGGAGTTTGCACCCTGGCCGAGTTTTGGAGAGTCGAGGGGAAGACTTGCAAGAGAGCGGGAATGGAACACAGCACATACACTTTCTTGGCCGATACCTCCTCCTTCTTCAATGGCACGCTGTTCACCGACCCCTCCACGTTTTATGCGAGAGTTTCCCACAAGCACCTTGTCTCGGAAGCGTTTGCCACTGCAATGCTGCTGCGCCTGTTTTTTTGCTGCCTGCCAGCTTTACGGCGGGCCACGAGTGCTGTTCTTTCAAAGCTCCGTCGGCGACATCTTGTGAGCTGTTGGGACAGTTCCACTGGGCTGTTCGTTGGCGACCACGTTCGCCAACGTAATGCTCAACCGGTTGCTGCTGAGTATCCAGACGGCCCATCCCGCGATGCATGTTCGGAACGTTGTGGACGACGTCCATGTGCAATACATTGGTCTAGAGAAGCATGTCTGCCATTTGGGCAGGGATACCGTCTGTTGGAATCATGCAGCGGGTTCTAGAGTTGGCTTTCGACGAGCTGATCTGCAGTGGGTTTTCGTGGGGGACCGCTCGGCCCCCAGTGCATGTTTTTGTTTTTTTCATTCTTAACCATCAGGGACCCGGGATGGCATATTGACAACGTCAGGCTCTAGAGGTTGGAGACTGGCACCCCCCTGGATCTGCTGGCGCCTGCTCCATTGCAGGCGGGTTGGTTGGCGCAGCGTGCTTCCAGGTTTCGGTCTGACAGTGTTTCTCTCCAGGCCAGGGCAGGGTCTCAGGTTTGGTCTCGGCCTTTCGTGAGGAAGCCTCTGCTTCGTCTTTTGGAGGGTCCCAGGAGGGCACCTGTTGAATCGCCTGGCGCCTGGGACTCCCGCAAGGACGAGGCCCAGCGTATATGCATTTCGCAATGCCACTGGCCACAGGAGTGGTTGCACAAGCACGGGTATGTTGGTTCTCCCCACTGTAAGCATTGCCAGGTACACCCAGGCACTCTGTTTCACAGGATGTTTCGGTGCGATGCGTTCCAGCTCCTGCGTGGGACACAATGCAGCCAGCTGCTGTTGAGGTGCATGGCCAATCTGGAGGCTTGGATTCAGGACCTTGACAAGACTGCTGCAGACATCTTCCCCTCGTCACCGAGCTCGCCCCCCCCCCCTCGTCTGCAGCCAGGCCGCCATTTCGGGATCAGCTGTCCTCAGGAAGGTGGGCTCTCGGGCCACATTTTCCCAGACGGGTCGGCCGTCAACCCTGCAAGCCCCCTTCCGTGTCGTGCAGGGTGGGGGCAAGCTATGGTCGAGGATAATTGATATTCCAGCACGGGCTGCTACGGGGCAGTCCCGTGGGAGTTGCCCCCCCACCCCCCCTGGTGGACAGCTCGTGATGGTCAAGATTATGCCATGTTCATGGCAGCCCAGAGTTGTGCCACGGGGCCAGATTTGGTGTCACGGGGCTGTGGCCGGGTCTCCCAGGTTTGCGGTCAGTGGTGCGTGCAGTAAGGCACCCTTTGTGGACTCGTTTCTTTGATTTGTAGGATGGCGAGTCCCCGCCAGTCGTGAAGGTCAGGGCTCGCTCGTCGTGGGTGGACGTGGGCCGCGGGCTCCCGAGCCCATTCCAGAAGCGTGGCTCGGACGAGGCTGGTCGGTCGGCCAAGCTCGGGGTGCGCTGCCACCCCTCGATTGCCGAGCTCCGGAGCTCCGTGTCCTTGAGTCCGTCGCCAGCCAAGCGGTGCGATGAGCGGGGGAGCACACGGCCTGGAGGGCCGGCCGTGAGCTCAGAGACTGTGGCAACCTTGGCGGGGCCCGGAAGGTCGGTTCTGTCCGTGCCCGTCTCCCGCAGTCGACCTTGCCGAGCATTCGACTGGGGACCCGTACGTTTGTGTTATCGGCCGAGCTGCATGATGAACTGGTTGCTCTCTCACACATTTGCTTGGACGTGCGCTTCGCAAGGCCGCAGTGTTCGGACCAGGCGGGGTGCGTCGGTCAAGTGGGGGCACGGTGCTAGTATGCAGAAGGTGTGGGGGTTACAGCTGGGGGGGCGGTGGTTCGACCTTTGTGGCGCCCCTCCACCCCTCCCTCGGTTGCTGTGAAGAGACAGCGTGGTCGTGTAGAGAAGGGGGTGTTTTTTTCCTGGGCCCCTCAGTGCAGGGGGCTGTTCCTGGCCCCCCCTGAGACCGGTCTCCCCTGCTGATGTGGTCGCGTTGGCCACCACCAGTGCAATGAACCCTCAGGCCCTGGGCGGCGGAGGGGGCCGGTCGTCGTCGTCGTCGTCGTCGTCGTCGTCGTCGTCGTCGTCGTCGTCGTCGTCGTCG